CTGTGGCCATGGAGGAAAAGCTCATCGATAAGCGGATGTGTGATGTGAATGGGGGAAGGCTGCTTTGTGATGGATGAGGCTGGAACTCTCCAGACAGGCCAGACAGGCTGGAAAAGTATGGTTGAAGGTGGCAATGTGAATGTTACCAGGATATATCCCGAATACCGTTGAGGCAGAGTCTGAGAGAAGACGGAAAATGAAATTCACAAACTCTAATTCATATTACCGTAGTTAGGATTAGGATGAAAGCTCCAGAGAAGTCAAAACCAAATGAATTTTTTTTTTAAAATCCTTCTCACACGAATGAAGATAAGCAGTTCAGCCTCCTAAGTACCTGTGAATTCAGGCCTGTGCCACAGGGCAGACTTAACGTGTTCTTAAGAAAACAGCGAACACCACTAGAAATATGATGAAGAAATACAGACACTTGGTAAAGGAAGGAGAGAGAGGCTGGGGTGGGGGAGACAGTTCAGTCACGAAGACTGGAGTTCCTCACTTAGATTCCCATCCCTGGAACCTCACATAAGTGTTGGGTGGGCCTTGGAAGACCAAGACAGAAGATCCCTGGAGGAAGCTGGCTGGCAGGACTAGATATATCTGTGAGCTCTGGGCCTGATTGCAAGGCCCTGCCTTGGTAAATAAAGTGGACGAGAGATTGATCCCTGACATCAGCCACAGACCTGCACATGTATGCACACACATGTATAGGACGCAAGAACATGTGTGTATACACATGTACAACACACACAAATGAGGAAGAAGATTTGAAGGCGCTATGCTAAGTGAATACAAAAGGCTGTCCCATTGGACACATGGCCTGTGTTACATACAATATGTTTTAGATGTTCTGCATGGTGGAATCGGGATTTCTTTTTTCTTTAAACTTTTTTTTTTAACAATTTTTTTTCTTTAACTGAATTTATAAAATAATCACATTTGCCGCCCCCAATGCTACAAAAGCCAATTTTTCTCATGTTGATGTAAATGCTTACCTTAAAATTACATGCTTAGAAGTTGAACATCACTTAGATACTGCTTACAGGGTATCACTCCAAAATTGCTTTTAAGAACTCCCCGGTGGGAGGGCCTAGTCCCTACTCCAAATGACAGATTTTTGATGATCCCTCCGGGAAGGCATCACCCTCCCTGTGGAGTGGGGGAGGGGATGGGATGGGTTGGGGGAACATGGGGGGGGGAGAGGGAGGGAAGGAGAGGGGACTAGGATCGATATGTAAAATAAGAAAGATAAATTTAAAAAATTAAAAAATAGACACCGTGCCTGGTGGAAGGGTGCCCTCCTAACCATTAACAAAGGTCACCTTGAGGCAGTGGCTCTAGAGTGGTTTGATTTTCCTTTTCCACATAAACCATGGAAAGTCATTCTTATGGTCTTCTACTGGGTCCTTGTGACATCTGAGCACCTGCTGTGTATCACACACACGCGCACACACACACACGCGCACACACGCACACGCACACACGCACACACACGCACACACGCACACACACGCACACACACATGCACACACGCACACACGCACACACACGCACACATGCACACACGCACACACACACGCACACACACGCACGCACACACGCACGCACACACGCACGCACACACGCACGCACACACACACACACGCACACGCACGCACACACGCACGCACACACACGCACACGCGCACGCACACGCGCACGCGCACACACACGCACGCACACGCACACGCACGCACACACACGCACACGCACACGCGCACACGCACACACACGCACACTCACGCACACACACGCACACTCACGCACGCACACGCACACGCACACGCGCACACAGTGATGAGGGTTACCTGACAGCTCTCTGAGGTTCATGTCATCACGGTGAACCCATTTTACGGGTGAGGAAGTAGTAACAATGCTGCTCCCTGCAAGGCCAGGCGGCGGCACAGGCACACGGAGGCCAGTGGTCATTGGGTCTCTTCCTGGATCGCGCTCCACCTTATTCTTTTGAGGCAAGGTCTCTCGCAGAACATGCAATTCACAGATTTGGCTGGGCTAGAACCCTGCAAAGGCCGCCGGGCCCCTCCTGCCTCCGTCCCCCAACTCAGGTGTTCCAGACCGACACTCCGGCCAGCCTCATCTAAGTGCGGAGGATCCAAACTCACTTCCGCGGGCTTGAGGAGCACTTTACCCATGAAGTTGCCTCCAACCAGCTTGCGAAACACTAATCTCATCAGAAAGACTCGCTTCTCCCTGGAGTAAGGCACAGGGGTATCCATTGCGACTTCTCCCACCAAGTGGCAGCTGTGCTGGCCTTCTCTGGGGGGGGGGGTTGGGGAGGGACAGTGCCTCAGTCATCTGCCCTCCCTGTCCTGAATGTACCCATCTCACCCAGCACACAGGGAGAAAGCAGAGAAACCCCTGACCGCCCCTTACAGAAAGGGACTGAAAAATAAGGAATTTAAACAGTTAACATTCTGAACAGAGGCAGAGGGTGGCTGTGGGGACATCGCAGAGACTTTAAGAAATGTCACACCGCCCTATCTGAGAATTGGGTCTTCACATAGGCAATCAGTGCTAACAACTCCTGGCTGTTAGCGGGTGTTTCTTTCGAATGGCTTCACATTGAGAATCAATCCTGCCTGGGCCCTGAAACTTCTGTCGTTTTTATAGCTACCTCTCTCTCATAACTTTTAATGCCCACCTTTAATATTGTAATGAGGACAATAGCACATGCAAATGTTGTTAGTGTTTTAGAACCCTTAAGACAGAGATGAGTTTGAGAAGCAGGTAATCATCTCGGGGACCTCACCAACCCCAACGAAATTGCTTTTTTTTTGGGGGGGGGTCTGGTTCAGTGTTTGGCTGAAAAGGCCCTGGCTTCTAAAAAGATTTCCAAATTGCATGATACTCCCAAGCTCAGCCGTAACTGCTATTGTGTACCTCGGGAGACACTTAAGTCATTCTTACTCAATTTGGACAATTTTTATCAATTCACCTGGAATCGGTACCAATCGGAGCATAGGGCATTTCTAGCATGCCCATGGGCCCTTGCCAGCAATCTCCACAGTGGAGTGAGCATGTGCAAGGACAGGAATCCCAGCCATTTGGCTCCCATTAGCACCCAGGACAGAGCTGGACCAGGAGGACATTTGATAACAGTATGTTGAAGAATGGGGAACCAGGCTCCGTAGAGAAAGTATCTGGCGTGAGAGAGGAAGGACCTCACTTTGATGCTCAGAGTCTATGAGAAGCATGTCTGTAACCCCAGCACTCCTGTGGTGGGGTACCAGCTAGATAACAGAGCGCCCCTCAGGTCACCGGACAGCTGGGCACAAGGGAATCGCCCAGGAATCTACAAGGATGACCCCAGTTAAGAACTCCTAGCAATAGTGGATACGCAGCCTGAACTGGGCACCTCCTGTGACCAGATCGGTGCCTAGCCCAATTGTCATCAGAGAGGTGACATTCAGCAGCTAATGGAAACAGATGCGGACCCACGGTCAAGCATGAGGCAGAGCTTGGGGAACCCTGCAGAAGAAGAGGAGAAAGGATTGTAGGAACCGGAGGGGCCAAGGACACCACAAGAAACTCGGAATCAACTCACCTGGGCTCACAGGGGCGCACAGAGACTGATCTGACAGCCAGGGAGCCTGTGTGGGGCTCACCTGGGCACTCTACGTATGTTACAGTTGTCCTTCCGGACTCTTTTACAGGCCTGCTGGACCCCACTCCTCATACTGGGTCACCTCGCCCGGCCTTAACACTCGGGGAGGCTCTTAGTCTTACTGCAACTTGATAGGCCGTGTTGTTGACAGCCATGGGAGACCTGCCCTTTCCTAAACAGAATGAAACAACAGTGGATAGGGAGTGGGAGCAGAGGGGTGGAGGTGGGGAGGGTCAGGGAGGAGAGGGGAGAGGAAACTGCAGCCAGGATGTAAGAATAAATAGGTAAGTTTATGAATGCACCCCCCCAAAAAAAAAGAAAGCAAGAAAAAATACACAGAGCCTAATTCACCTGTTTCTCAGATGTTCACATTAAGACCTGTTGTCCTGAAGAAGCCAAGCCCCTGAACAGGTCTCTCACACACTAACCATCTTCCAACGTTCCCTTCACTCACTCCTTCTGTTCTTCCAATCAGCCAAGCTCATCCCTGCCTCAGGCCCTTTGCACTGGCTCTGACCTCTGCAGAAAAGTGTTCTGTCTCCTGTTTGGAAACTTTCTCGGTTACCTCTGGGGCCACGCACCACTAGTAACCCCACCCCAGCCAGGAAGGCCTAAGTCCTTTCCCGCTCCACACTTACTTCCTGGCATGCCTCAGCAGCACGCAGCAAATGGTTGGCTCGCAGTGAACAGGTCTGGCATAGACGGACAAACCAAAACTGTAAGAAGTAAACACGTGAGCTCTTGCTGATTTCTATAGTAGTCAGGACCTAGGAATCTGCATTCAGAAGAGTCCCCTGCTCCTGGTTAACAAGGGCAGAGACCACAAGACAGGGCACTGTGTTTGGTAACACCTTAACAACCCCCCCCCCCAGAATCTCTCTCCAAACACACCACTGGGCAAGGCTCCAAAGCTAAAAGGCACTAATTGCTTTTATATAAGGAGGTAGGAACGTAGTCCCTCTGTGTCCCTTAGTCCTGATGGTCCGCATTATCAGATCTGTTTCCATGTTAATTGACACTGTCTCACAGACAGTTCAGGCTTCACTCTGACGATGTCTGGGACGATGACAGGCAGAGAAGAGAGGTGGTAATTGGGAAGTGTCTCTCTTTCTCTCTCCACCCGTGTGTGTGTGTGTGTGTGTGTGTGTGTGTGTGTGTGTGTGGACATGGCCCCACTCTGGGAAGGGTTAATATGCAGCCAGGCTGCCTGCACTCAAGGCAGGCCCAGGAATGGGAGGGGTGGGCCTAGAAGGTGGAGCAGGCTTGACTCGCACAGGCTGCCTTCTCCCCACAGGAGTGCCAGTGCTTGCCCAGCTGGTCTGAGAACGGAACACTCAAGTTGCCTTTAGGAATGGCTGCAAAGCCCACACCTGGAAATCCCCCCTCCCTGTCCCTGCAGGGCAGGTTGCATCTGGGAGACTCTCCGGCCATTAGAGGAATGAGCCAGGAGTGAGCCGTCCACCAGCTCGTCAGCACTTGCTAGAGAGCAGCAGCATGGACGTAGTCGACAGCCTTCTGGGGAATGGGAGCAACATTACTCCCCCCTGTGAACTCGGCCTGGAAAATGAGACTCTGTTCTGCCTGGATCGACCTCAGCCTTCAAAGGGTAGGTGTTAGGGGCCGTGACCGGAGTTCAGAAAACCACAGAGTTCAGGGAGATGATAGAAACAGTGACGCTGACTGAAATGTATATACAGTGTGTGTGTGTGTGTGAGTGTGTTTGTGTGTGTGTCTGCGATAAAGCTAGATGACATTGTATGTTCAGAAGTTTGGATAAAAGAGTAAGAGAAGTCTACAGTCAAATATTCTTATTGTTCCCCTGGGAGAGTTGGGAACTCATGCAGGATTCGGGGAAGATAACAAAAGCTTAGAAGAGCTGTGGGCAGAAAGGGGGTGCCCAGTGTGGAAGCTGGAAGTACACGCATTACAGAGAAGGAACTGTCAGGGGTAGAGGTTGCCTTTCCTTAGGAGAAACCCAGCATGAAGTGATTAAAACAAAATAATGCTTAGCCTGGGGATGAGGGGCGCAGGGGGCTGGGGAGCTGTCACCGTGAATTCAGGAGCCTTGTCCTTTGGAAAAACTGCTTCCCCCAGTGATTTGTCGACACACACCAACCTTTAAGGAACAATTGGATTGCCCTGAGCTTCCCTGGGCTTGTGTCTGTGCGATGGAGCCAGCGCAGGGATACTCGGGTTCAGTGATGCATGCCAGCGGGGGACATTGTCAGAAATGACCATTCCATTCCTGGGTTGGGGGGGCTAAGGCTTTCACATTGCACCCTCCTAACCCCCACCCCTCCAACTCTCCCCCGTTCCCCTGCAGAGTGGCAGCCTGCGGTGCAGATCTTCCTCTACTCGTTCATATTCCTCCTCAGTGCGCTGGGGAACACTCTGGTCATCACCGTGCTGATTCGAAACAAGAGGATGCGGACTGTCACCAACATCTTCCTGCTGTCCCTGGCTGCCAGTGACCTCATGCTCTGTCTCTTCTGCATGCCGTTCAACCTCATCCCCAACCTGCTCAAGGATTTCATCTTTGGGAGTGCTGTGTGCAAGACCACCACCTACTTCATGGGTGAGCCGCTGCAGGGGGCTGCTGACCGGGCTCTTCTTGCTCAGCCCGGTCAACTTAACCCTGGTTAGCCCCGGCTTTTGCCAGCCCTGTGACAGTCACAGGCAGAGGGAGCCCACTGGGCCCGTGTACGACGACACAGGTACTCTCTCTACAGCAAGCCAGTCCTCCTACTTGCTGGGGAGTCCGTGTGTCGGGAGCTTACAGAAAAACAGTGGGAACTGAGGGGACTCGCCTCTTTGCAGGACGAGAGCTCATGGGTGACTCTATAGCTTTCTGCGGGCAGATGATTGCATGCCAGGGAACTCCCAACTTGGGTCAGGGTCTCTTGGGATGGAGTAGGTGCACAGGCTCAGAGTTCTTTGCTTTGTCCTGTGAGAAATGGAGGCTATGTGAAACCATTTCATCTCCGTCTAGCTTCTCCTCTCAGGGTTCAGTTGGCAGATTGTTCTCTCAAAGCCTGGGACATCTTAGGCCAGGGTCTGTGGTGTGTGTGTGTGTGTGTGTGTGTGTGTGTGTGTGTGTGTGTGTGTGTGTGTGTGTGTGTGTGGTGTCCCTAATAAGAAGCAGAATATGTTCCCAGGGAGCACAGATTATGAAGTAGACCTGACTGCATGAGCTACACAGCTCGCCGCCTATACCAAACACAATGATGGTTGTAACAAAACCCACAAAGCTACTTTCTTGGTACTTTCTATGCTCCAGGTATTTTGCCAAGCACTTTCTCTTCCACGATCTTGTTTCTCGCCCACCTGGTAAACAGCTGTCACCCATCTTCCCTGTCTCACCACGCACGGGGAGCATTGGGGCTGGGGTTTGAACCTAGATTAGCAGACGCCACAGTGGTGAGCTCATGCCCCTGCTTGCCAGCTCCTAAGTCTGGACACAAACATGTCCCTGGTCCCGCTGCCTGTCACACTGCCTTGTCCCTTGGTTCTGAGAACCAACTTGGAAGAAGAGGGTGAAGAGTGTGTGTGTGTGTGTGTGTGTGTGTGTGTGTGTGAGTGTGTGAGTGTGTGTGTGTGTGTGTGAGTGTGTGTGTGTGTGTGTGTGTGTGTGTGTGTGTGTGTGTGTGTGTAGGGGATATTTGATTCTGCCCCAAACTGTGTTAAACAGACATCACCGAAGAGGGCTAGGGAAATCTTCAGAGACCAGAAAGCACTGAAAATAATTTCTTTTTCCCAGTTTAGTGTTCTGGATCCAACAGATGACAAGATGAGTCACTGACCCTCATGCCCCTAGATTAGTAACCAAGAATGTCATCGTTGTTCAAATCCCCTGGACGTATTCTAAAACCTTAAAAAAAAAATGGGAAGGATCTTGGTTAGATAAGGAAGCATTGCTGAGAGCTTGTTAACTCCTGAGGCCCATCCATGTGCATCTGACATCCAATGGGCACGGTGCTCCAGCGTCTCAGCCAGAGTAGGGAGGAGAGTTAACGGGAGTACTCACACAGTCATACAGCTCTGAAGGCCAGGCAACTGTCCCACCGGAGGTGCTCGAGTCCATGCTCTGTGAATTTCACCTCGGAACAGTTCTAATAGTCAAAATTAAACAGCAAACTAATTCTGGGATGAGTTAGAATGTCATAATAGCTTAGTTGGTTAAACTTACTTTTTCTTGTTATTTGGTATTGGTTTTAGGTTGGTTTGGGGCTTGAGGGTGGGGAATAGGGTGAGGGTTGAACAGGGTTCAGGATGTAGCCTTGGCTGACCTGGAAACTTAGAGTGTAGCTAGGTTGGCCTTGACCTTGAGGTCATTCTCCTACATCTGCCTCCCGAGTGGTAGAGTTACAGGCATGCCCCCACCAACTCCACGGCTTTGTTGAATTTCTGATTCTGATTATTCAGTTCCTACCCTCTATTTTGTGGTACTTCCAACAATACCATTAACAACACCCATCAAACATCTGATTTGTGTGTGTGTATGTGGAGGCGGGTTGATTGACAGTGGGTTTATAGTGACTGTGGACCCATTGCACAGAACAAGCTCAATGGGCTTTAGAGCTTTCCTGTCAATTCTACATGTCATAGGTTCTTCACAGTGAGGTCTGGTGAAACACAGCGAGTGAATCCCACTCCAAAATAATAATAATAATAATAATAATAATAATAATTTTCTTAAAGGTTTTAGAAAAATATACATGTGTGTTTTAGAGAGTTACTATCTATTACTCTGGTAAGGAGTGATGTTTTAGGATATCAGTAACAGCTAACTGGTGACGGTTCTCATGGCTGAGGGCTCTAAAGCGTTGGAACTTAAAGGCTAAGACATGACCAGGGGCATGGCGTAGGCAGCCAGCAGGGCCGGGGGACGTGGGGACACTCCTTTGTACTATGTTCAGGTGACCACTTTAGAGATGCAGCTCCTGTGCCCACTGTCACAGGAAAACACACCCTCTTTATGCGGCAGAAATGCCGGGCGTTCTCCTGCTCACAGAAGCCGCTGGTTCACCCCAGAGCCTCTTCGCCGACGCCTTTTCTTACTATGCATTTTTTCAGCAGAGAGTTTAAAGTTTACAATGCTTCTCTCTTTTAAATTGTGTATTAGACCTTTTTAGCACCCTGCTGACCTTTGGGCAACACGGAGTCCTTCACAGTTTTTGCCTTTTAATGTCTATGTAACCGCGTGCTCGTGATCAAAATTAGAGCTCTTCTCTAGGTTTCCAAAAAGCCTTTCTGTGGGATGGCAGTTTATTTTTAATCCCCTTGTTTATTATTTAATGAGTAACCACCAGCCCAAGCAGGAGTTAGATTGCAACCAAAGCTCAATAAACTTATCAGGGAATTGGCGATGAGATGTGTTAGCAAATACATATGCTTAACTAACTGCCTTACATCCTTTTTTGGTACAGAGCCGGTACTAAATTTTCTTTTAAAAGTATACATAGTATTTCTTTACCCCTTGAGCCTTTTCCTGTGATACTAATCTGCAGCTCTGATACTCGGAAGCCACTGCGGACTTTGGAGTCAACCCCTGAGGAGCTAACTGCCTTCTTGGTCCCTTGGCAGGCACCTCCGTGACTGTCTCCACCTTCAACCTGGTAGCCATCTCTCTGGAGAGATACGGCGCCATCTGCAGACCCTTACAGTCCCGGGTCTGGCAAACGAAGTCCCACGCGCTGAAGGTCATCGCTGCCACCTGGTGCTTCTCCTTCCTCATCATGACTCCTTACCCCGTTTACAGCAACCTGGTGCCTTTTACTAAACGCAACAACCAGACCGCAAATATGTGCCGCTTCCTGTTGCCAAGCGACGCTCTGCAGCAGTCCTGGTAAGGCCGTGGGTGGTCTGCTCAGCCTGCAAGACACAGCTTCGCCTGGCTGCCGGGCTGCAAGCTTTTAACACCCAGCCCCGGGGAGGCAGAGGCAGGCGGATCTCTGTGAGTTCGAGACCAGACTGGTCTACAGAGCGAGTGCCAGGACAGCCTCCAAAGCTGCACAGAGAAACTCTGTCTCAAAACAAAATAAAAAGGAAGGAAGGAAGGAAGGAAGGAAGGAAGGAAGGAAGGAAGGAAGGAAGGAAAGAAGGAAGGAAGGAAGGAAGAAAGCCCACACATCTTCATCTAAATTAGCAAAGTGAGGGACAGGGAAGCCGGTGACTACAGGACAGGTGTCCTGGAGGCTTTCTAAGGAGGGTCCTTGTCTATGATTATTCTTTGGCAGCCTCATACATTTGCATAATGAAGTTTAGTTGACCTCCTCCTTCCCCATTATTCTCCCCATCTCCCCTCCATCTCTGGTTAAGCCTCCTTTTTCCTCAAAAAGTCCCCTTCCTACTTTCACGGCTTCTATGAGACGCACAGAGTTAAACTGGGTCTTCTTACAGAGCTGAATAAGACGTTATTTACTGCAGTATGGACATCTTATGAGTGGCCTCAGCACTGAAGGAAATATCACAGAGCCCAGCAAGTTAGAGGCCAATGGTCCCTCAAGTGCGGGGCCTCAGGGGCCCCTCCGAGGAGGGTCATTCTAGCTTGGCAGGGGGAGCACACAGCGGGAAACCAACCGAGACCCTAAAGACTACATAGTTACAGATGAAGTGTGTTAGCATGTCCATTTTACAGATACGGAAACTTGTGACAGAGATTCCAGAGTGGCCAAACCCACTAAGCTAGGGAGGGCCAAAGCCTCTCTCAGTACTTAACCGCTATGCTTAGGTGTCTGCATGGTCCCCAAGGAGTTCAGACTGGTTGACTTACCGAACTATGATTCTCTAAAGAATTGCCGAGAGATCAGTATCCAAAATCTCATGTAGCCTTTTCTAGTGCTTAAAAAAATATATTAGTTACTTTGTGTATATGTGTATGTGTGGGGGTGGAACATGTTTGGAGGTCAGAGGACAACTTAAAGGATTACTTCTATCATGTGGGTTCCAGAGATTAAACACAGGTTATCAAGCTTGGTGGTAAGTACTTGGACCATCTCGACACCCCAATCCCTAGTCTTTATAACCACTGTATTTGCCCAGAATAGCTTTCCAGAAGAGACGATGTTCCAATACTGGTTCATTTGCTTACTGGCTAAATAGCCTTGGGGAAGTTTACTTAGCCTCTTGAAGTACTGGGTTCTTTATCTCTAAAGGAGTTAATAATACACACAGATATTTTTTTTTTTTCTGAACCTGAATTACTGGGGAGCTATACGGTTCAAATAAGAAGCCATAAAAATACTTTCAGGGAAAAGACGGCACAACCGTGGATCATGTTTACTAATTACAGTGCTGCTTTAGAAGCAGGGTCTAGACGTTCCGAAGTGGCCAAAACCTGGATCATTTCTTCCTTTCATGTCAGTCAAGTAGCTTGCACACGAAACAGCATGACATTGCAAAAGAGAAAGCTATACAAGGCTTATCAAGACATGTCCAATTGCAATGAGAAATGGCCTGGCCACTGTTTGCCTCTGACAACCGCATGGTCTAATCTGCAGCTTACACATGCCAGACTGCAAAAGCGATTTAGGGGCCAGACTCACAGAGCAGGAGGCTGTGAGTCCTCAACAACCACCCGTGTTTAGAGAAAGCATAGCTCAGCCCTTCCGGGCATAAGGCTTTGTGCAGCACCAAACCAGCTTCCCAGCATGATGGAGAACGGGTACTTGGGGAGATTTGTGCATGGCAAAGGCCACATTTGGTAAAACTGAAAGGTTTTCCACAATTCTGACCTTAGCATTTTAACGACTCCCATTGTAGAGTCAACAAGTTGCATAGTGTGGTGTGTGTCACTGGGTTCAAGTCTCACCTCTGATACTAGCTGTGTGACTTTGGACACGTTTAATCTCTTCAAGGCTCACTGTCTTCACCTCTGCAGTAGGTACTGGGACAACAGTAGCTACACCAAAGGTTCTTATGTGAGTCGAACTGTGACATGTATGCAAAGAGCTTAGCCAACCAAGCACCAGCCCTCATCAGATGAGAAGCATTTTGCTTTTATTATTTCAACACCTCGGACATGCCATGCAATACTCCCATTATTTTTAAAGACCTCATTGCTTGTTTATTGCTCATGTTCACTGTTCATTTTTGTAAAAGGTCTCTCTATGTCACCCAGGCTAAGCTCAAACCCCAGGTCTTGAGCAAGCCTCCTGCCTCAGCCTCCTGAGTATCTGGGGCTGTAAGTACACACGATTTTGCCGGTTGTGCTGTTATACTTTAACATGTCCGTTAGTCTGGAGCACAGAATGAGGCTATGTTTTCCCAACTTAAGTAGTCTTTCAGAGCCACTTTAAAGACTATAAGAAGTAAACAAATTCTAATGACCGAACCTCCAGACGTGGAATTTTCAAGGATGTTAAATGCTAGACAGTAATGTGTCTGCTGACGCAGACCATCTCTCCCGCCTCATTCTTGCTCATCAGAACTTGAAGGTCCAGAGTTGCTGGTGATTAGGTTTCTTTTAATTGTATCAGGCAAACATTCCTGCTGCTCATCCTCTTTGTCATCCCTGGGATTGTGATGGTGGTGGCCTACGGGCTGATCTCTCTGGAACTCTACCAAGGAATAAAATTTGATGCAAGCCAGAGGAAATCTGCTAAAGGTAACTATTTTGGGGATGGATTTTTTTTTTATTCCAAAAGAGCTCAAAAGTGTGCTTTATAAGTTAAATGGAGGGGCTCAGAACACACAGAGAATGTGCTGGAGACTGCCACAAGGCAGCCAGGAGACCCTGGCTCTGATCCCAAGCGTGTAGAATGAGGAGAGATTTCTTCTTGGGGTCCTGAGGGGACTCAATGGAGAGCATGCTCACATGGCTCTGTCCCCAGGTTTACTGTAGTGGTGACACTTAGTAGACGCCCTCTGGTGAGTCTGCCCTGCACGTGGCATTGGGACATTAGATCCACGGCCTACAAGCCCAGCTTCCTGCCACTCATTTCTCAGTCTTGATCTTCCTCCCTTCCAGAGCCCACTGAACCTGTCACCAACACCTGTGCTGACATAACTCTTTCCTTCTGGCCCAGCCTCCCGTCTCAGCTCCTTGATACGTAGATAAGGCAGTCTCTCCGGCTCCTGTTGACTTTCTCTGTTACTTGGAGTCCTCACAATAAAAGTAATAAATGTAAAATAAATACAATCTAAAAACTCAGCAAGCAAGCAGGAAAGAACAGAGAAGGGTGTTAATAAATGTAAAATAAATACAATCTAAAAACTCAGCAAGCAAGCAGGAAAGAACAGAGAAGAGTGTTAATATTTATTTTATAATAAGTTTCAGCCTTGCAATCTCTGTGTATAGGGTTTTATTATTATTATTATTTATTACTGTATGTGTATATGATTTATATTTCATTGGAAGGGCAGAATTTGTACAGACCAACACTGATATTAACCAGTACAGGCCAGGCTGCCTGCCCATTTCTCCAGTTCAAGTCCAGCTTGACCTCCTGAACTGGGGGGTGGGGTCAGGGGCCGCCTGCCTTCTCTCCAGCATGACTTGTCCTGAACAATAAAATGATGTCACTTACCCATCCAGAGAGGAAGCTGAGCGGCGGCGGCAGCCGATATGAGGACAGTGATGGATGTTACTTGCAGACGTCCAGGCACCCGAGGAAGCTGGAGCTTCGGCAGCTGTCCACCAGCAGCGGCGGCGGCAGGCTCAACCGCATCAGGAGCAGCGGCTCCGCGGCCAACCTGATAGCCAAGAAGCGCGTGATCCGCATGCTCATCGTCATCGTGGTCCTCTTCTTCCTGTGCTGGATGCCCATCTTCAGTGCCAACGCCTGGCGGGCATACGACACTGTTTCCGCAGAGAGACACCTGTCGGGGACCCCTATCTCCTTCATCCTCCTCCTCTCCTACACCTCCTCCTGCGTTAACCCCATCATCTACTGCTTCATGAACAAACGGTTTCGCTTGGGCTTCATGGCCACCTTCCCTTGTTGCCCCAGTCCCGGTGTCCCAGGGGTGAGAGGAGGAGAAGGAGAGGAAGAAGACGGAAGGACGGTCGGGGCGTCCCTGTCCAGGTATTCCTACAGCCACATGAGCACCTCTGCTCCACCCCCGTGAGCTGCGCCATCCCCGGCCCACGGCTGCAGCAAAAAGGAAAGGACCAGGGGCCAAGGAGAAAGTGGGGAAGGAGGAAGCTGCAGTACAGCGGAAGGAAGACCTGCTTCTCATGGGGACTCATCAACGTCTGCTTTTCATCCTTCACTGAGTTCCAGAAGGAACTTATGGTGGGGCCATGGAAATGCCAAGTGTTCCACCGTGTTCACCATGCAAGAAACCTCAGCAGGCCAGGGCAGGAGCCCCAAAGTGCTCATGCTACAAATGCCACTGCCAAGCCCGTGTTCAAAATGAGCTTTAGAATTTTCTGGAACACCCCAGGTGAGGCCTCTCCATAGTGACACACTGCTATGCTGTTTCTTCCGCTCAGGCAGAATCCCAGTCACCATGTTCCTTCCTAGGGAACCCACAGCTACTTCCCATACATCCTACAACCACACACACCTTCTCATGGCTGCCAAGGGCGTGTGATGCACACACGCCTCCTCTGGCCACTTCTGAATATGAACACTTTTTAAATCATCATGTCAGCTAAGAATGCTCAGAGGTATCGGTTTAGGTCATCATCAGAAAAGCAAAAAAAGAGTGTATGTAAAGGACTCGTTTGCTTCTACCAAAAGTGTGCATGGCCAATAGCCTGAAGGAATTGTTTTCTGTCAGCAACGTCGAGCCGCAGCCTGGAAGGTGATCTGTGCTGTGTAACTAATTTCTCCTTCATACCCTAACCCCCGCAACTCCTCAACTTGATTTCTCTGTTCACCCATACTTCCTCTTCTCCAGAAAGACCTCCAAGTAGGAAGGGGAGATGTATATACACCTGGGCAAGGGTGCAAACAACTATCGTCAGGCCCCAAAGAAAACCGGCATGCTGGGACTCCATTATCAGACAGCTTTGAACGCCAAACATGTGTATGCTTCTAAATGCCATCTATGTAACTCTTGATCACTGGCTCAGTGTGTGTGTGTGTGTGTGTGTGTGTGTGTGTGTGTGTGTGTGTGTGTGTGAACTGAACATATGGTTACATCCTCTCTGTATTTAAAACTTGTCCATGGATATTGAAATCTAGCAAGTGTTACCATTCTTCCATAAAAGTTGGAGTTTCCTGTGATCTTTGTTTCTTTGCAAACTTAGTGCTGCAAGCACTTAACTCTGAGAACTCTGTTTAAAAATAGAAATAAATTATACACTGAGACACCAGGAAGAACATTTCTAGATAGCATGTACCAATCCAGTCTACCAACACACACACACTCACACACGCACTCACACACACTCACACACACACACTCACACACACATTCACACACGCACTCACATACACTCACACACACTCACTCACACACTCACACACACACACTCACACACACACACTCACTCACACACACACACACACACACACGCGCGCGCTCTCCCTCCCACACTTCCTTCCTTCCCGGCCTCTCCTTCCCTCTCATTTTCCCTCATCTGTTGCTTGAACACTTGTGTTATCTACTTAACAGAGAGTTAAGTGTGGACCTTTTCAACAGAAACCAGTTCGTAGGCACACGCAGAAAGTAAAAAATATGCAAAGAAAAACGCAAGGCAAGTTGTGAGCTGCCGACCCTCCAAGGAATGAGCATCCTTCTTGGCTTTTGCATAAGGCTACGGCCACACCCATGCAGCCCCCCCACTGTCGTAGTCCCCAGACCTCCCGTGGAAGAGGAGAGAACAAGAGGGGCTAAGGCTCCTGAGGGGCTAGAATTAGACAAGATGCGTATCTTACAAGACAGTAGCGCTTACTAAGGAGAAACAGCTGAGCACATAACTGCCCATCACACCCAGCTTGTCAAGCCAGACTAATTCCCCCCCCCAGACTTCCAACTTCTATGGGTATCTATTGCTACCCTCTCGGTCAACAGTTTCAACATCAAAATGCAGGGTTAAAATTGCAATCATGTAAGACGTGAGAGATAAAAATGTCTTTGATACCTACTGGGTCTTATATTCTACATACGTTTCCTGTCTAAATTAGGAACCTCTGGACTTCCTGAAGCTATATTAACCTAAAAACAAGATTGTAGAATTTAGTTAATAAAAATACATAAATGCAGCTAACAAATACTTTTGGATAAGCCACAGACCAGTGGTTCTCAGCCTTCCTAATGCCCCGACCCTTTAATACAGTTCCTCATATTGTGGTGATCCCAACCATAAACTCATTGGAATTGCTACTTCATAGCTATAATTTTGCTGCTAGGAATCATAATGTAAATATCTGTTTTCTAATGGTCTTAGGAGAAAGGTTTGAAAGGGTCAGTTAACCCTAAGGGGTTGTGAGCCACATGTTGAGAAACACCCTTAAAAATATGAAATTTTTGAGTGCATCTCGTACACTGAAAGACATCCTATATTTTATTTGCCAACCCTACTTTTGAAATATTTTAAGGTAGGCAAAAACATAAACAAGATTTCCCACACACACAGTAATAAAATGCCTTCGCTGATTTAATTTATCGGAAAGTCTCTCACCTGTTGGAAGCCGACATATGGGTGTAGAGGGCTATTAACTTCCAGAATCTGTGATGAGCTTTGGAAAGTTCTGCTTTTACTGATGATTTTTGTTCTCTCACATAATGCTGTTCTGACACTTTGTTAAGTCAGCTTCCTTGGCCTTGGGTTAAACAAGATTACTGATTTGAACACAAATTCAAGTTAAGGAAACAAATACATGGATTCACTAGTATTTTAGTGTCTTGTAGCCCCATCCCTTCATCAGCAACAGAATACACTGGAGCACTGGAATTGAGAGTTGTGTCTTCGCTTCCTGCGCCCCCAGACTCCGCGGTAAGATCTCCTAATGCGCTTCATGGTGAATGGGCAGTGACTGGATGTCTAGGGTTCCGTTGCGCATGTCCCTGTATGCTTAACAGGCGGTCTCTTGCTTAAGGAAAGTGTCATCTTCACATCGTGAGTTAAGTGAAGACAGCTGCTGGGTTTCCACTGTACCGTCTTCCCGTGTTTTGCCTAGTGACCCACGTGCCGTGAATGTTTAATAAATGTTATGACTGACTTCTGTGGTGCCTCTCACGCTTCCAGCCGTCTCTGTTTCCATGCACAGCTGTGCTCCTCAACAACGGGGAGCTCGCTCTTGGGGGAGAAGAGCAGAGCTATGACAAGACCTTTTCCTGTCTGCATGCGTGCACCCCAGGCTGTCGTGTGTGACCATTTACTGTGTTCTCCGTCCTCTTTTCCTTACCCTCGTGAATTACGTGGGTAGAGACGGTGGATAGAACCCACAAATGCTTCTGATGGGTGTATCCTGTCTAGTAACACCACGGAAATACAAGTAAACAAAGGCTAGGAACCACTGGTCCCTAACATCCCTCCATCCCTTCCTTTCTCCTTCCAAATGGGGCTAGGTTGAGCCAAAAGCATCTCCAGGGATGGAGCCGCCAGATCTGCTCTCAGAACCTTAAAGCAGCTCGTGCTTCCCTGGCACAGGGCTAGAGCTGCCCGATGAAACACAGAATGTCTCTAATGTGACTTTGAGATAAGCAGCAGTGATCACTCTATTAAAGCATACCCCATGCAATGTGGCTTTATTTGCCCAGTCCACAGGCCCATCAAGGGAGTCTCCGTGGGTTATCATGGAGAAGGGAGCTGAGATAAAGCAAATGTGGCCCGGCACTGTCCTGGTGGCTGCATGCACAGAGGGGACAGCAGACACCACCACCCACCACACACTGCGCCACTTGTGAAGGAAGGAAGGGCTTGCCCTGGGGTCACGGGTCTCAGCTGCCATCCATGCTTACTGCCCTCAGTTATTCCAGTTAAAGGGTCCCAGCCTCTTCTATTTCCTATGGCTTCCACAAAGATTCATTACAAGAGTGGCTCACGACAGCGCCGATTCCCTTTCTTGTGCTCCTGAGAGTCAGACTGTTAACAAGGAGCCGGTAGGAAATTCTAGGGGACAGTTTGTTCTCATGCTTTCTGGTTTCTTCAGGACCCCTGCATACTCCCACTCTTGGCCTCTTCCTCCGTCTCCAAAACCCACGTGGCAGCATCTTCAAACCTCTCCCCTCGTTCTCTCGCCGCTTCGTTTCCTCTGTTCCTGTCGCTACTTCATCCTGTCTGCACGTTTCTGTCCCACTCACTCAAGTTTCCTCTCTATCACCCATCCCCTTCTCTGAGTGGCTCTTCTGACCTCCGCTTATAAGAATTCTTGTTACTCCAGCGCCTGGAGAATGCCCATAATCACATGACCTTGTGGTTATGGAGCAACGGCATCTGCGGTGGCCCAGTGGTCTGCCTACCATGGCATTTCCCCCCTGTGATGCCTGTTCCTTTGTCTAGGCCACTGAAGGGGGGAGGCTGGATTTCACTAGAGTTTCCGGTCCCTAGGACTTGCAGGCGAAGCAGGGTCTAAGTTTTAGACACTGAGGTTTTAAGAGGCTAAGGGGGGGGGGGTATTTAAAAAAAAGAACTATGGATTTGCAGCTAAAATAAATTGATAACACATCCATTAAAGAGTCAGGACTGTGGACCCTGGGGGACATTTCTGGTGGACCAAGACTAACTCCAACCTACTCTCAAGGTTCTACTTAGCTTTGGCAGATAGCGCAAGGTGCTTTCAAGAAATCTGTCTTGCACCTCTACAGCTGGAAGGTCCAAGATAAAGCATCTGCTGTCTGATCTCTTCTGAGGGCTAGGAGGAAGAACCTGCTCGAGGTCTGGAGGTTTGTTGGCCATCTTTAGCGTTCTTAGACTTGTAGAAGACCCATCCTACTACTGCGTCCAGATGCCTGGCGTGCACGTCTCTGTATAAAGACAAGGGTGACCTTAGATTAGGGCCACCCTAGTGAGCCAATGACAACTGCAAAATGACATCTCTAAACAGGGTCACAGTCTGAGGTGCTGAAGCCTTAAGGACTTCAGACTGGGTTTGGAAAAGATAAACTGGGCCCATAATCATCTCTTTGGAGCGTAAGAGTTTCTGAACTGCCCATCTTTCTGTGAAATAGGC